ATCGATTATCTACAATTCCTTATTTTGGTTTTCCGATATTCTGCCTTTTTTTTAAATTCAAAAATCATGTTCGCAACCACCAAAACAACTAAATGTGTTGGTGGTTGCATATTTGCATGTTTATCAAGCTTGGGCATATTTTATTGATAACCACGAAAAACTAAAAAAAGCTAATTGTAGATAATATATCAAATAATGTTTATGCCAAAGGATTTTGGAAATTATTGCGGATTTTTTGAGATGACCTTAAAACGAATTGTGGAGGTGAAAACAGTTCAAGCAATTTCAAGTAGATGGCGCCACGGCAAAAACTACTTTGGGAGCATCATAATTGTATATTTGTCTTTCTCTTTCACTAAGTGTTTCACCGACAAACAGATTTTGTTTTGGACAAAAAATAAAATATTGAACCGTATGTGTGGAGTGGCGCAGGCGTCATTTTCAAAAACTAAATTTAAACATGGCGGCCATTGACGCGGCCTTAAATATCTTCAAAACCATTGCAGTGAATTGGGGCGTGCCAAATTTGATAAAACTCTTCAGAATTCTATCTCTACTAGTTGCTGAAATATGCCAATACCGCTTTTTCAGTAAAAGTATCGCATTGGAAATATCTTCAAAAACCGCTTAAGCAGGTTAACGAAATTTGGTACCTGGGGATTTTTGAGCAAGCGAAATTCAACAGTGGTATCAGCATTGTTGCCAGATTTTCCAGTTGTGCGCTACGCGTAGTCTTTTTATCTTAAACGGCATGCCCCATTTAACTTGAGCGGGTTTTACTGAAAATACGGCGTAGGCATATTCCAAAAACTAACAGAGATGGAATTCTGAAAATTTGGAATCTTATCAAATTTGGCACGCCCAATTCACTGCAATAAAAATAAATTGGGCATTCTATTTAACATAACAAGAAGACTACGTGTAGCGCAAAACTGGGAAATCTGGCAACATTGCCGAAAGCACTGTTCAATCCCGTATGCCCAAAAACTGTCAGATTCCGAATTGTATGAACGCGGCTTGAGCGGTTTTGAAGATATTTGAGGGTTGCAGTAATTTCTACTAACCATGTATATTTACACAAAATGAATGACGATTTGCGTCAATAAACACAAAGGTATTTGTTGCACACTGCTGTATAAAAAAAAGCTGATTAAGCACCAGCATGGCAAGGAGCCAGGTCACCAGTTCAAGTAAAGGGCCAACAAAATACTTTTCTGCCCTAACAAACAATTAAAATATAAATTGGAAAACTCTCACCAATTTTCCAAGACCCATTCCATGTAGTTGTGTTTTCTATCCATCTGTACATACTTGCACAAGCCTCTAGCCAATAGTTGGGAAAAGAGTCTGGAGAGCAGACATACGGAGCTTCGAAGGATGCCAAACGATATTTCGCGTGTGTGTTGAAGGCAATACATTTTTTTTCTTAGGGTTTTTATTTTTCTTCTAAAAACTATTAGGAGGAAGAGTTTCGATTTGTTGTTTTGTTTAAAATACATACAAAGACTAGCACTTATTACAAATTACGGAGCTCCGTCTGTCGGTTCCTCAGACTTTTGTTTAGTTGGGGGCCGAGGTTAGATCCTCCACAAGTTCAAAAGTTCTCCCCATGGTATTAAAAAATAATAATAATAGACTCCTCAATGATGCTGGGGTACCCAAAAGTGCCAAGGTTAATTTGGCATTGACATGCCGATTGGGCACAAATAAAGGAAGATTCATTTATAAATTTTGAGGACTTCCAAAAAGCCTTTCGGGCAAGATTTTGGGGGGTAGATCGTGTGTATTTGGAGCTCTTGTAGGGTAGGTATGATGCGAGTAGTAAAGCTGAGTAGTTTCTCAATTGATGATGTCGGGGGGTATTTGCGGAAGGTCGATGATACATTCAAAGTAGATGGAAAAGGAGAAATTGATAATGAGAAATTCATACATCTGTCAAAACTAACATTCGAACAATAAACTGGCATGTTTTGATTGTTGATTTGAACCAATCAGATTGGAATTACGCGATAATTTGCACTAGTGCAAATTATCAGATAATTGCATAGTAACTGGTGCGAGAACTGGTGTTTTGACATTTTTTGGCAAACAATTTATACTTTTGATTCATGAAATTCTCTCATTAAATACAACTCATGCAATGGAAATATATTTATAATTTTCGACAAATTTGCACTCATGCGTTTTTAACTGAAAAAGGCACTCGTGCTCTACGTGCACTCGTGCTCTTTTTCAACTAAAAATGCATTCGGGCAAATTTCCCAAAAATTTTCGAAAATTTCCATTGCACTCGTTATATTACTATTGAGAATTTCATACATCTGTCAAAACTAACATTTCAACAATAAACTGACATGTTTTGATTGTTGATTTGAACCAATCAGATTGGAATTACGCGATAATTTGCACTAGTGCAAATTATCGAATGTAATACCACAAGAGGTTTCAGGATTACCGGATAATACTTTTACCTGTCACGAAACGCGTTATGCAGCAACACCACGACTCCGAAGGAGGAGTGGTGTTGCTGGTAACGCGTTGAGTGTCAAGTAAAAGTATTAGGTAATCCTGAAACATCGAGTGGTATTCAAAAGGTTATACAACGAACTAAACTTTAATACTTTATTAATTTTTATTATTATTAATAGCAAATGAACAATATTGCCACCAAGCGCGATAATCCTGAAAGGCTTATCACTTCTTGAGCCTCTCGTGTCATATGGGAATAACATACAGTGAGTTGTATAACTTTTTGAATACCACTCGATGTTTCAGGATTACCTAATACTTTTACTTGACACTCAATGCGTTACCAGCAACACCACTCCTCCTTCGGAGTCGTGGTGTTGCTGCGTAATGCGTTTCGTGACAGGTAAAAGTATTATCCGGTAATCCTGAAACCTCTTGTGGTATTACATTCGATTATACAATACAACTCACTGTACATTATTCTCATATGACACGAGAGGCTTAATAAGTGATAAGCCTTTTGGGATTATCGCGCTTGGTGGCATTTATAGCAAATTCTATTATAGATTTTTTTTTTTAAATTTTAAAGTATTAAAGTTTAGTTTGTTGTCTAACCGGTGTAATACACTCTAGCGAAATAGTCACCAGAGCAAACCTTTGTTTTTTTTTCATCATTTGAAAACCGCTGAATCAAATGTTTTCAGAGTCGGGGATTACATTAAGAATAATAAAGAGACCTTTAAAACGATATATCACTCGTCGCCGCCTTCTATTTAGAAAAACGTTTCAAAACTGCGCCAACTGTCATTTTGATAACTGAAGCTGTCATTTCGTTTTTAAAAGTTGGAGAATTTGCTCACATATCGTCATTCCAATTTTCGTTGCAATAGACCGAGCGGTTCAAAAGTTAGAGGGGCGGCGACGGACTTTATGTCCTCACTGTATACACCTTGATTTACGTAGCCCGTACATCAGAAGTTTTCTAGTTTGCAGGTGGATCAGAATCAGTTCAGATAGTATCTAATCCATTTGCAATTTAATGCACCGGCTACGTACATTACCCTGTATGAATATTGATTATTGAATATTGTAAATAGGAATTTCAGCTTTTGGTAATCCAAAAAAAAACCCAAACAATAACATCATTGTAGTGTTAGTATCCGGATTACAAATACCGAAGAAAATATATTATGGACAGAATGCTTTTTGCACCGAACTTCCCAAGCTAAATTCCTACTAGCTTTGCATTCTCTACAACTTTTGTAATGGCCCTATCAAAACCAGACATTCATGAAAAACCGTTCTCATAACACTTGATTTGATAGAACTGGCACAATACCTTATTACAAAGAGGAGTTTTTATAGTATATAAATATCCCACACCATTCAGCATTTTGTACATCTTTTCACCATGATTAATTTCAAAACCTTCCAAACCCCTTCATAAAAAACTACATTTTTCACATACGTACTATTATTACATTAATTTATGAATCAGGATCACCACTAAACTTAAAATTGTTAGACTTTTTTGGGATTGAAAACGTAAAGACTGCCCGCTCAAAATATTATCTACAGAACAGTAAAAAATATGACATTTAAAGCAGATTTGAAGGTGCATACGAGCAAAAAGAATTTCACAGACAAAACACAAAACATACAAAAGCCTGTACGAGTTATTTGAGTAGAATATGCACAGTATCCTAAGTAAGTTTGACGGATTTTGTTACAAATACATTCTGATAAAGTGTGTTTTTTTTTTACTTGGAATACAGTAAACTCAACTCAATATTACATTACACAACTGACTGTCAATACAGAGTTTGTCAGTACGAAGAGACTGTTTCTTGTCATCGTCTCTCTCAAAAACGCCACTTTCAAAAATTTATTAATTCGAAAAAATTACAAATATTAAAACTGAAACTTATACCTAATGCTGATGACCGCAGGACTGTGTTTTGAACGTTATGGAAATAAAAAAAGAAACAAACTGGGTCGTAGATAAAGTGTTGCATATCAAACGAAAATATGGTAACGCTCATTACACGACTCGGTATATGACCTTGTCATGGCAATATCTCCGAAAAGTTTTGTTAATTTTTGTATTCAAAGCAAAAGCAAAAACAGATAATTAATGAGTTGCCTATTGAACAGTAACGGCCAATTTCATAATCAAGCTAAAGTAAACTTTAAATTAAAAGCTCCATTTGAAGTTGAAAAATCCTATCCTAAAAGTCTATTTAGCTAAAGTAGGTAACTTTTAATTCTCTATTATGAAATTGGCCGTAAGTTTTCTGTTATACATATAACATCCAGTTTTCACTACATGCATATTTTTTGCATTTCACACGTGACTAAACACAAAATTAACTTTTGTTGTGGATAAAGGATTTATTCAGGCACCATTCATACACAAATATATTTCTGCTAAGGAATAACCCATTAGTTATTATGTACATGGGCAGATTTAGTTGGTGGTGATCCTTTTAACAATTTAATCAATCATTAAATACTATTTTGATCTCACCCACCGCGACTGTAGATCCGTTTTTACCGACTCCGCCGGCCAGTATAGTGGAAAAGTTGGCCTGACCTAGAATGAGCGCCCCAAGGCACGCCACGCTGATCGGGATCAGCTTCACTTCGACGTCCAGCGAAGGAATCTGATTTTGCACGAATTTTAAATTAGGTTCCATACATTTATACAAAAAAAAAAAATTCAAACTACATATACAGAATCATAGGAAAAATATGAACACATTTTTACATGCATTTACATAGAAAATGATATTTGGCTGTAATTTTCTTAAAACTGCGCAATAGTATTTCAGTAATCGAGGAAAGTACACCAAACCAAAGTTATAAAAAAAATGAGGGATTGATAAGAACAATAAATCATAAAGATTTGGCTTTTTCTATTGGACTCAAAAGTGGGTATTACACCACCATTACAGACGACTTCACATTGGAGTAATTAGATTCAATTACCACTCAATGGACAACTGATTTTTGATACTAGAACTAGCAATATAATATGAATATGTACCTTCTGCATTTTCGAAATTCTCAATACCTACTTTTAGAGGTCTCATATTTTGAATTTTTTCCATTATTTAGTGGCTGCGAGTTATGGTTCCTTGGCTGTTATGGAAATATCAATAAGGTGATACAATTTTTTTTTGTCTATTTAGTGTGATATCAGTATCAGACCTATTGTGTTCTGCAAAAAAGTCATTAGGTATGGTTTTGTTCCAGTAGATCTTATAGCTTTGGTTCTTTTCTAGCTCTAAGAAGAATATTTGTACTGAGGTGTTGTTCGGTTTTCTTGATTTATTAGTTACACGAATCTCTTGGTGTATAATTTAGCTTTTGGTGCAAGCAAGCTGTTATGTATGTCTATCTTTTTTCTTGTTATTCTTGGGACTGAAACGGTTTATCGTACTTTAAGGTTTAGGTCTTTGTCGAACTTAATTATAACCGGCTATCGAATTTCCTCCAAAAAAAATGCTCTTCTGGGTGTAGTGCAGTTCTGTAATGTCCCATTCCGCCCTTATTTCTTGGTTGTGTGAGCCTCTCCAACCAGGCCGTTGGAAGGTGCAGGACTCAACCCATCAAAGTCAGATTAAGACTATTAATCAAAGGAATATGTATCTTTGAAGTGAAATCTTACTACTTTGGAAGGATTGTGACCTGGACGTTAAGATCAGAGTCTGCCCTCCAGTCTTTCATTACATCTTTTGATAACGTGTATTTTATAAATATCTAATAACTCTATTAACCAAGAGGGCGGAATGGAGACAAACCATCATCAATTGCTTCTTAAATTCTGGCACTTTATGTTCCTCAGTAGGTATATTTTATTCTTCTAGGTGTTTAGAGCGAATTAGGGAGAAGATTTTATATTTTATATGTAATGATGAACATGTAGTAAAGCCATAATGGGACGGATTTTTCAGGTTCATCGCTTCTTGGAATCAGCTAAGTGATACTCAGTCAAAAACGCTGGAAACATTGCTGATTTTTCAATTGCTTCAATGAACCTTTGAACAAAACATCTATGTGAAGAAGTGACTCTATTGCACCAAAAGCTTAGATCCTGGTCTGGTCTAGGTGCCTTTCAGTCATTTTTGGGTGGGTTATTTTTCTATATTTTGAAATCTATTTCTTACCTTTCTTATCAAGATAGAATATCGATCGGTATTTGTTTACATTCGCTCGCTAGACCAGGTGCTTTACCAGTACCTTTGCATAATTCGATCTGATCTAATCATAGAATCTGTTTTTCTCCTTCCATCCAGGGGTGTATCAAGTACTGAGGTTTTTGTTCTTGAATTCATTTCGCATGATGGTCTTTTATCTGTGCGAACATGTTTACCTACCATTTCAGATAGTGCACCGATTTTCTCATCCATCTTTTATAATCTTATTATTAAATTAATAATAACGAAAAAAAAAAAGGTTTAAATAAAGAAACTTCTGTGATCCGCAATGATCCAGCCCTGTTGGCCGTTGGCCTGTTAAATGTCCATGTTATAAATTCAGAAATGAATCAAACTACATATAAGAAAATGGGATTATAAAGCTTAACCTAAACAACTTTATCTACCAGGATAAAATTAACAATAACAAAATTCGTTTGAAAGAAGGTAAAAACTTCACTAAAAAAATCCGATTTAACAAATAAGTTCAGTAGCACTTGGTTTGATGGAATGTGTAATAGAAACGAGTGATTCTGAGAAGAACGCGTAGACCAGCACACGAGAGCAAATCAGGACGAACAATAATGTTTTTGCCTATCTTGAACAATGGATGAAGGTCTCGGATCTTTCTTCTGTAGGCAAGAATAAACTACAGCAGCATCACCAAACTTAAAATTGATATGCCCAAGAAAACTTATTCGTAGCTATTCGCTATTCTCATACTACTCATATGAGTCGTATGAGGGTTCCATACACATACCCTATATTCAAGATGGGAAGTCACCAGAGCATAAGACACCTAAATGTACTCTGTACACTCAGAAGAAGGTAGTGCATGCTAGACAACTCAGTATGATGCTTGCAGTGAGAGGCTGGTCGTCCAAAATGAACTGAAACTTCTGAGAAGATTGCAATCTAGAAAACTTTGCAAATTTATACTTAGTGACATTCAAGGCCATTCTCCGCCCATTCCGTTCCTACTACACCAGAAGTCTGTCTGACATCCTGAGGGTCCAAACAATCCCTGAAAGCTGAACATCGTCATTTCGTTAGCAAGAAGCGAAAATTACTTAGAATTAAACATGCCAAAATAAAATATCATTAACAAATGGGTTACGGAGCAAGGGGCCAATGTGAGACCCCTGGGAAACTGAGGAATAGTAATCTCATAAGTCAAAACTGTTTATTCGGACCACTTGGCGGCGATCGGCGATTTCTCAAGTAGCTCTCAATATAACTTGGAAAAGTGAGTGTTGATTAAGTGGACTTCAGATCCCCCATTCAAAACCTGGTACACAGTATCCAAGCTTTAAGCGAGGTTCACTTTAGTGTGATAACCTGTCAATAGAGACCTTCTGCACCTCTACTTTTGATGCCATTTGACTTTATTATTTATTTCGGGCATGCGCATTAACTGGGAAACGAGGGGGAAACCGCGGAGGAGTTTTAGTGTACAAGTGGTGGGAATTTCGAGGTATTGCAGGGGCATTTTGGGGCCTTTCGAGGTATTCTGGGGAATTTCGAGGCATTTTTGGGAATTTCGGTGCATTTTCTGGAATTTGGCAAACAAAAGACTAATATATTTTGACAGTTATCCACACGAGTAGCATTTTTTCAAATGGAACACCCGGTAAATTTTTAGTTTGTTTGATAATATGTGTCATTCTGATTGCACTATATACAATACAAAACAATTGAATACAATTTACTTCATATTTACATGCAGAAATGTTTTATTTATTCTAATGGGAAATTCTGTCTACCTACCTACCTTTGCAGGCAATCTGTGTAGGTAATCAATATTTTCAGTTAGAATAAATAAAACATTTCTGCCTGTAAATATAAAGTGAATTGTATTCCAGTGTATCGTATTGTATACATTGCAATCAGAATAAAACATATTATCAAACTGAAAAATTAGTGGGTGTTCCATTCAAGAAAATGCTATTTGTGCGCATAACTGTCAAAATATATTAGTCTTTTGTTTTTTGTCCACTCGATCTAAAACTTGGAAAGCAACCCTACAGTGTGTTTTTTTATTTATTTGAATACCTTTAAAAATAAAGAAATTATGACAGTTTAAAATGTTGTCAAGATAAAATGACCAGACTGTACATGAAATATGTGAATTTTCCGCAGAATCCATAATTGTCATAATATACAGGGTGATTCATTTGAAAAAACAAAGTTTCTGGTATTTCCCGAAAAACGAAAGATCTGACAACCATGTAAATACTACCATATTATCGGCCATATACCTTTGGACTATGGATTGTGAATAGGATATACATGTTCATGTATCACCGTTCTCACGAACGTCAGTATAACAACTTCACGAAAAGCCAGCGCGACAATGTCCCATCGCCCAGGTTGAAGATATGAACAAAATTGTCTGACTTGGTGTTATGGAACCGCTCAGGAAGTTTGGCGTGTTCATGAGTTATAAAATTTCAAGGTCGATGTACTGGATTGTCTATATTTTGCACCCACACCTATCTCACCTGTTTGAAGAGATACCCAGAAATGTCAAATGTGAAAGTTGTAGGTAATAGAAAGTTTTGCAAGTATAAGTACAGGGTGTGTCTCAAAAGTGTGACAGAGCAAAGTTAAACTTTTCTAAGTGGAACACCCCGTATATTATTGACCCAGATTAGTCTTTCAAACCTGATTCCTAATGTATTAGATTTTTTAGGTTTATTCCTAATAGTTCGGGAGAAAATAAGAAAAAAAGGGATGGAATAATTGCATTTTTATTGGAAAAGGTGAAGTATAGAGACCACCAGCAAAATATAAAGGTCATCATTCGAGTAAAAAATCTATATTATCTCTTCAAAATTGGATTTTCAGAGGCCGGACTATGAGGAATAAACCTAAAAAATCTAGTATATTAGAATCAGGCTTGAGAGGCTGATCCAATAGGTCAATAATATAGTGTTTCATTTAAAAAAGTTTAACTTTGTTTCGCTACACTTTGCTACATACCCTGTATACTTGTAACTAGCTTCATTGTAAAGTTTCTGATATTACTCACAACTTTTACGTTTGACATTTCTGCTCGCATTTCTGGGTATGTCTTCAAACAGGTGAGATAGATGTGGGTGCAAAATATAGAGAATCACCCAGTACTGGGGACTAATCGATACAAATTAGAAATGTTACATATTTTTTTTGCGATTTTTTGTTTTATAGTTTTATTTTTGGCAGTATTATATTCATTCTCTAAAATCCATTTAGAAAGATGTATCAGCGTCAGTGCATATGACACAATCACACGCACCGACAAATCGGAACTTGAAATTATTGCCTGGAAATTGCTCCCGATAACTCCTAATTTATAATTTCATTGGGTTATGGTATTAAAGGCAAATATTCAAGATTAAGGAAAAATACCCAGGAATTTTTCGAGGCATTTCAGAGGAATTTTGGGGCATTTCAGGGGAATTTTGGGGCATTTCAGGGGAATT